GTTACACTGCTCTGAGGCATGAAACCCGTTAAGGGCAGACTCCCATAAACATTTTAATAACCTCATATCCTCTGGTCTTGTTGGCTATCCAGTTCTGGAGTCTTTTGTATTCTGAGTCCAAAAGTCATGCCATGGATACATAGAATCCTAAGATAAAATAATGACTCAATCCAAACCTTTATTTTACTGTTTGAGGAATCTGGGCCTAGAGAGGGCAAACCAGCCCATCTGCTCTCTTGATCCTACAGATTTTGGTTTTCTTTTTCTAGTCAAATGAATTTATGGAACATTTAAATTGAAAAGATCCTTAAGAATATTCCAGAACAAGTGTTTTGTAGTGTTATGTTTAGCAATGTTATGCTTTTTCTAATGAAATCTTATTCAAAAATCACAAAGTAATTAAAAAAAAGATCAACAGTGAGATGCTTTGCCATAGTCCCTGAGTGCCTGGAGAAAGCTGTGAGTGGGAGGGCCATTTAAAGTTCTGAAGTTCAACCCTGCTCTTTTTCTTATACTTTCTTGACCCACACCTGCATCAAGTGGTCTGTTTCATTCTGCCCCAATGTGTTAAGATTAAGGCCAGGGTGACTGGTGATTCAGACTTGTTAAAGAAAAGAAATGGCAGATCTTTAGAGTAGATTCTTGAATCCCCATGTCTTCTGTAGATATCAGCATAGATCATTCAAATTCTAATAGTGAAGTTAAGCCAAGACATATAAATAAGGTAGAGCTACAAATATGACTAATTCAATTTAGATGGAAGAAATAAATGCAATTAAGATATCATACTCTAACTAATGAGGAAAAAAATAATTTTCCCTCTATGATAAAATATTAGCCAATTCAATAATCTAACTAGTCCTTTTGGAAGTATGCATTCTCTTTGGGGAGAAAATACTTGGTCACTCAGATGGTGAGACTTGACAGCTACACTCTAATTCTCTTTCTAAGAGGGTATCAGGATGCACAGGATCAGAAAAGAAACAGATCTTTTGTCCTGACTTTTAATATCCAAAATGATACTGCTTTTTAAGCTGGTTGCTACTTGCCCAGAAGGAATTTATAGTTGAAGCCTGCAGCCAATGGAATTCATGGTTTGGACTCTGCCAGGTTGACTGTTGCTTGGTAATACTCCCTGGTTGATGTGTGTTCTCAAAGGTACCATAGACCCATCCGAGATCTGCCTGCTGCTCTCAGTTGACAACAGTTTGGATTATCTAATCAGATGCCCTCACCACAGAGACCCCTGATACTCATCATGTGATGCCCTGTCCAGAAATAACCCCTAAGATAATCCTCCCCCTAGATATCTTTAGCTGTTTCCAGATTCTAACTTTTCTATCAAGACTCAAAATCTATTCTTCTAGAAGGATTATAAGAAAATATATACCCACCAATGTTTACAAATTATATTTTCTTGGTAAATACTTCTTAACAATATATTTAGATATGGGAACTAGAGAAAACAAGCATCAGGAAGCTAAATGTTTAAAGAGAACTTTATTTGTTGGATTTTTTGGTCATGTTTTGCAAGGTATCTGTTAGATTACAAGATGGAAGTCTATGTTGTTTTTAAAAAGACTCACTTGATGCCCTAAAGTTGTTTGTAAATTTTAATTTTGTTGACTTTCAGTCCTACCTTTTCAATTTGTTATATTAAAATCAAAGGCTTTTCTTAATTTTCATTGAAACATTTCAGCAATATTCTGACTCATAAATACAGCCAGGTATAACTTCTTTAAAAATTCCTATTAGGATCTTTGAATTTGGATGTTATCAAAGCTGTTAAAACCATTTGCAAATTATTTGCCATGTAGTCTTTGCTGTATGCATTTTCATTTATGGTAATTTACACCAGATTTTTGAAAATTTAGGATATGAATAATCTGTTTATGAATAAGAAAGCATTTCCTCTATGAAGTTCCCACAGCTATTTTTATTGTCTAGATCTTATATTAATTTAAGACTTGTTACCCCTCCTTGGGTTTCTGAGGCAGTATCACTATAGAAGTAGATTGCCCAATTTTCCTTCCGAGGAGTGGCTTGTGGGTTTGAACCGCCAGCCTTCTAGTTAGTAGTTAAATGCCTTAGGCACTACACCACCAGAGAGCCTTCTATAAATTTAGTCCTCATATATTCAGAGGTACACAGGGAATTTAGACACTCTATGTGATAGTTGGATCTGTGTGTCACCTTGGCTGGACCACAGTGCTATGTGGTTTAAGCAATTGTGATGTGGGTTGTTCCAATGATGGGATCAGATGTATATGGTTTGAGCATCCAATCTGTTGAAAGGGAGTATCCCTAGGGGTGTGGCCTGCTTCCAATATATTTATGAACATCCTGGCAAAAGAGATACTCTTCTGTGGATCAGGATTCTGTTGTGCTGCCTACAACTGTCTGTGAGTGAACAATCCATCATTTGGCCCGGAGATCTTGGATTCGTCATTCATTGGAGTAAATAGCCAGTATACTGCCTGCCAACCTTGAGTTCCTCAACCCCTGAAGCTGCGTGAGTCAGGAAAAGCCTCCAGCTTGATGTTTGATCCAAGAACATGGGATTTGCCAGCTTCTATAAGTGTGTGAGCCGTTTTTCTAAGATAAATTTCTCTTTCTCTCTCTATATAAAAGCTTTACTGGTCTTATTTCTCTAGAGAACCCAGTCTAATACATTCTACAAAGCAAAAATGTTCTGAAGAGTTAAAGTCTTTATTGACTCTGAGGCAATTGTAACTCCTATAAATAAATCTGATACTTTTAATCCCAACTTGCAGTCACTATTGTTGGCAGTTAAGAAGGAATGCTATCTGTTAGATACCATTATGGAAACTTTCTTTTTTCCATGTGGCAAATAAATATAGCCATCTATGAAGATATCAACAACATGTGATATATTAGAAATGAACTATTAATAAGTATTTTTGCTTGTGGAATACTGTTATTTCTCTTCTAGCTACTAAATATAGTCACTATGGTAGTTAATTATGTTTACATTTTAAAGAAAATATTTACTGATTGTGGTAGTTACGTTTATGTGTTATCTTGGCTGGGCCTGGTTGAGTGGCTTGCTAGGTTCATGTAGTATTCCCCATGATGAGACTGGTAATCAACTTCATGGTGGAATATACTGTGAGCAGTTGAGTACCTGCCTTAAGGATGTGGTCTGCTTCCTTTATGTAAGGAGAAGCCTTGGGGAATGGTCTCTCGCTTATAGCATATTTGAGCACTGCATGTAGCCATGTCATTGTTTGGCAGCCTGCTATGCTCTGCCACCCTTGGACTTTCAATGGACTTGAATTCATGACCTGCCATGTGGTTTGGCAACATTGGGACTGTGCCTTTTTATTTGTCAACCTTGAGCTTGTCAGTCTCAGCAACCAGCAGCTGTCTGAGAAAAAAAAAGCCTTTCACTCCAGTGGGCCAGGAGCAGGAGGCAGATCTGAAGCCCAAGGTTGAGGGGTTTTTACCCAGCCCCTACAGTCTGGCACTTTGAACTCAGACTTAAAGCCTCCAAACTGTTAGAGAATAAACTCCTGTTTGTTCAGCCATCCCATTCGTGGTACATTCTTGTTAGAGCAGCACAAGGTGAACAAAATAGAATATGGTACCGAGAGAGTGGGGTGCTGCTCTGACAGATACCTAAAATGTGGAAACAGGAGTGGAATGTGTCCTTGACCCAAGACACTGGCAAAGAGACCCTGACATGCAGCATGAAAGATGGCAGCAGCAGAGCCAAGAGACTGGCAGAGAGATACCATCAGAGAGATCAACATGAGAGATGGCAATAGCAGAGCCCAGAGACCGGCATTAAATAGCAACAGGCTTATCAGCCTACGGAGAAGAAAGCCGGGTACCATTGCGCAGGCAGCTTCCTGGTAGAGTGGGTTGCCTTCAGGCATTAATTGGTAGGAGAGACCGTCATGAAATAGAATAGTAGGTTGGCCAGCCCAAGGAGCAAGAAAGCTAGGTGTCCTTTGGGCAGGAAGATTTCTGGCGGAGTGGGTTGCCCTTGGACATAATTGGCAGAAGTGGAGAGACCAAGGAAACTGGAAGCAGAGCTGCCTCAGCCTCAAAGGGTAGGACCATGGCCTCTAGGGGTGGAACCACCATAGTCCCCTAGGTTTCAAAGAGTCAGATCTTCACCAATTTGGTTCTGGAGTGTGGGGCTGCTCATTCATGTGGGCCAGTAGGATGGAGCCATAGCCACTGCCCAAGAGAGAGGGGGCAGGGCTGCCATGCTCAGGAGGTAAAGGAACAGAGCCGCCAGGCCAAGGAGGTGAGACCATCACTCAGGAACTAGGGGATTAGAGCCACCCGGTGAAGGAGATCTGTACAGGTGCCAAGTTGACAAGGGATGGGATTGTTGTAGTTATGTTTGTGTCAACTTGGCTGGGCCTGGTTGAGTGGCTGGGCAGCTGGCTTTAACATTCCCCATGTGATGAGGCTGGTAATCAATTCCATTGTAGAATCTACTATAAGCAGCTGAGTAGCTGTCTTAGGGATGGGTCTGCTCCCTTTATACAAGAAAAAGCCTTGGGGAATGTTCTCTAGCTTATGGCACATTGAACCCTACATGTAGCTGTGTCATTGTTTGACAGCCTACCATGATCTTCTGACCTTGGGACTTTCAATGGATTTGAATTCATGGCCTGCTGTGTGGTTTGGTAATATCAGGACTGTGCCTTTTTACTTGTTAACCTTGGGCTTGTCAGTCTCAGCCGCCAGCAGCTGTCTGAGTGAAGAAAAGCCTCTAGCTCCAGTGGGCCAGTAACAGAAGGCAGAGCTGAAGGCCACGATTAAGGGGCTTTCACCCAGTCCCTAGAGCCTGGCACTTTAAACTCAGACTTAAAGCCTCCAAACTGTTAGAGAATAAACTCGTTTGTTCAAGTATCCCATTTGTGTGGTATATTGTCTGTTAGAGCAGCACTAGGTACTGAAACACAGCTAATAATAATTTCCCTTCTAAAGTGACTTTTGTCCATATGTGTTGTCTCTTGCAGAAAACCCATTATTGGGTCTAAGCTGTTCAGTATGACATTACAGAGTGAGCCTCCCATAGAAATGATAGCTCCAGGAGTGTGGGATATAAGTCAGCTATCCCCAGTGACCCTGCAGGTAAGTGCCAAGCTATAAGATTGAAGTACACACAGCAAGTATTGGTTGATGAGTAACTTGCTGTTGATTACAGAAAAAAATTTTCTTCTGAGTTCACACATTTTCATAGTCATTTTATATTCCAGCCTGCTGGGGTTTGTGAAACCTCTACTGCATTATTTTGCATTCAGTACACTTAAAGCTCTTTTCTCACAATCTATATAACAGCCCTTTCAAGCCATTATACATAAAACATGACCATGAAGGAGGAAGGTGGATTGTTGCCATTAGTATACTCATTATATGCATTTATTTTGCTTTCCATTGTCTAAAAACAGTCATTGCTGTGTATCATTAACTTGGTACCTAAATTGCACCTGCCACTGTATTTTGTCATGTTTATTTAAACTCTCTTCTATTGTATATTTTCCAAATGATTAACAATTAGCTGAGATGTTGAGGAGCAACTGCAAACAAATCTACATATTACCTTTTTTTTTTTTTTAACTACCATTTCTACTTTCTGTTATTTGTTATTATGAGTGAAAGATGGTCAGAGATCCCAGGCTTTGTTCCTTACTACTGTTAGCTCCTCATATGATAATGGTTTATAATACTTGCTTATCATATTGGTCAGATATCTGAAGCATGAATATTCCTATGCAAGGAATAAGAACTTTTACCTCTACAGGAAAAAAAAAAAAAAAAACAGGAACTGCTATCTGGGCAGCATCCTCTAGAGCAGTATTTCTCAACCTCAGCACTACTGACATTTTGGACCAGATCATTCTTTGCTGTGGGAGGCCCTCCTGTGCACTGTACATTGTTTAGCAGCATCCCTGGCTTAAACTGCCTAGATGCCAGTAGCACCACTCCAAATGTCCTCTATGGACAAAATTTCTCTCAGCTGAGAATCATTGCTCTAGGAGCTCTGGTAGCATAGTGCCTAAGGCACTTGACTGCTAACCAGAAGACTGGAAGTTCAAACCCACCAGCCACTCCTCGGAAGGAAGGTTGGGCAATCTACTCCGCAGTTATACCACCTCGGAAACCCAAGGAGGGGTTGCTATGAGTCAGGTCTGACTCAATGGCACATAACAACAACAGGGGAAACTAGTGGAAATTCTTGGCTCTGAAGTTTCTCATTTGGTTGTAAAGAATGTGGGAAACAGAATTTGGTGAGATGTACAGTAAGATGTTGAAAATGGAAGGAAAAGTTAATAGTAAGAAAAATGTACCAGCCACTATGAAGTAAGGAAGAAGGCCTTACCAGACATCCCCCGAATGCCTACTTTTAATTTGTGAAAATGGTGATAAGAAATAGTGGTTGGCATAACATCAGTGAGTCAATACATGATGACTTAATGATTAGCAGATAGCCTGTTAAAACAGTACAAAAATAGAGGGTGTTCTTATGGATTAAATCGTGTCCCTCAAAAATATGTGTTGTAAATCCTAACCCCTATACCTGTGGTTATAATCCTATTTGGGAATGATCTTTTTGTGATATTAATGAGACCATATTAATGTATGATATATCTTATAAATCAATTTCTTTTGAGGTAAATTAAAAAAAGAGATTAACCAAACAAGTGAGCAAGCAGAGAGAAGTGAAGATAAATGTCATGGCACATGATGATGACCAAGGAGGCAAAGAATGACAGCTTAAAAGATAAGGACCTTCCCCCAGAGCCAACAGAGAGAGAAAACATTCCCCTAGAACTAGTGAATGATTTTGGACTTCTAATCTAAACTGTGGGAGCTCTGGTAGCATAGTGGCTAAGACACTTGCTTGCTAACCAGACTGCTGGTGGTTCAAACCCACCAGCCACTCCTCAGAAGGAAGGTTGGGCAATCCTACTTCCGTAGTGATACTGCCTCGGAAACCCAAGGAGGGGTCGCTATGAGTCGGGGCCAACTCGGCACATAACAACAACAACAACAACCTAAACTGTGAGAGAATAATTTCCTTGTGCTTAAAGCCACGCACTTGTGGTACATTCTGTAAGATAACTAAGAAAGGACTCATAATAAGCTTGTTAAATACACTCTACACATAAGGAAGAATTGCAAAATGCTGGTGGTTCAATTCCATCATATTTCTTATACATTTAATCCATGACTACTATGGTAGTTAAGGTTATGTGTCAACTTGGCTGGGCCTGGTTTTGAGTAGCTGAGCAAGTGGATATAGTATTCCCCGTGATGAGCCTGGTAATCAACTCCATAGTGGAATCTACTGTTGCAGCTGAGTAGCTGCCTTAGGGATGTGGTGTGCTCCCAGTATATAAGGAGAAGCTTTAGGAATGGTCTGTAGCATTTGGCATGCTTAAACTCTGCATGTAGCCAAATCATTATTCAGCAGCCTCCCATGCTGTCTCCTGATCTTGGGACTCTTAATGGACTTGAAGCAAGGGCCTGCCATGTGGTTTGGTAACATTGGTACTGTGCCTTTTTATTGGTTGACCTTGGGTTTGTCAGCCTCAGCAGCCAGCTGCCTGAGTGAAGAGATGCCTACAGCTTCACTGGGCCAGGAACAAGAGGCAGAGCTGAAGACAAATGTCTAGGAACTATCACTTAGCCCCTTGAGCCCAGCACTCTGAATTCAGATTTCTAGCCTCCAAAATTGTAAGAGAATAAACTCTTGTTTGTTAAAGCCATCTATTTGTGGTATTTCTGTTAGAGCAGCATGAGGTAACCAACACAATTACTATGCACTAGACATTGTGATGGAAGCTCTGGTAGCATAGTGGCTAAGGCACTTGACTGCTAACCAGAAGGCTGGTTGTGCTTGAAAGGAAGATGGGGCAATCTGCTTCCATAGTGATACTGCCTTGGAAACCCAAGGAGGGGTCGCTATGAGTCAGGTCCGACTGGATGCACACAACAACAACAACAACAACAACAACAGACATTGTGATGAGCAGCATTACAAAAATAAGTGGATGTATAATGCCAAGACAGAGATTTCAAGAAATGCAATCATGGATTATAGCTGGGAAAACAGACTTTCACAACTCAGTCTGATGTGATGTGACAAAAGCTGTGTCCATTGTAGGGTAATAACACAGCGGGGATAGCAGTGAATATTTCTGAGGGAAGACAAGGAAATGTATGAAGTTTGGGAACAGACTCCCAGAGGGTGTGACAATTGTATGCCTTTTGTAGAGAGAGTAAATCTCATTGAGCAATGTAAACAAAGAGAGTGATAAAATCATAGAGGAATAGCATGTGTAAACATGCAGAATCAGAAAAAGGGTAGCAATTTTCAAAGTTAGCTAAGACTAAAAAAAAATTATATGAGGTACAGTGGGCAATGGTAAAGGGTGGTAAACCATTATGATCCCAGCCTGGGTACTAAATTTGGACAAGTTTATCTGTTCAATGAGGAGTCAGAAAGTTGTGTTTGTTTTTTTTTCTGGGAAGGTGGTAGAAGATGTTCTAGAAACACAGAAGACTGAATACATGGAAACTTGTCATAAAAATATCTTAGTGATCTATGTTAGAGATCATAAGGAACAAATCTAAGAAAAAAATAAAGGGTGGATTTTAGCAGCTTTTGTAAACAGAAAAGGGCACAACTGTATGAAAGAAATAAATATGAAAATATAGATTAAAATGGGACTTCCTGAGTCAACAGCAGTGCCTTTAACTCAAATAAAGAATGCAGGAGAAAAAACAGACTTCAACAGAGTATTATGGTGAATTCAGTTTGGGATACATTGCATTTTATATATCAATGGGGAGTCCAGATGGTGATACATTCTTTGAAAGAATGAATGCATTTTTTTTTTTTTTAACTAAACTCCATCTTTCCAGATCCAAATTACCTCACCTTTAACAAACCTTTAGGATATCTGACTTTAATGATGATTATTTAATGGTGGATATAAATTAGTAGTACTGTAGTGCCTAAGCCATTTGACTGCTAACCACAAGGCTGGCGGTCCAAACCCACCAGCCACTCCTTGGAAGGAAGGTTCAGCAGTGATACTGCCTCAGAAACCCAAGGAGGGGTCTCTGTGAGTTAGGTCTGATTCGATGGCAGTGTGTTTGATGTGGTTTTTTGGTTATAAATTAGTGAGTTTGAGGGATAATTGAGGTAGGTGTCTATGCAGTATGGGGTAGGGAGAAGAAAATGAGATAGTCATATTAGTCTCTATTTGATTCTTTTCAGATGAGGGCATAAA